AAATTTAAATGATTATTAGCCTAAATAATTAATATTTATTAAACAAACTCAATAAATTTTTTTATTAAAAAATATCAAATTATTTTAGTGGTAATTTTCCTTTTTGACCACAAAAGATGAATTCCTACTCCAACCTTATAAAACAAAATATATATATATATATATATATATATATATATATATATATGTATGTATATATAGTAGGTTATTGCATACCATAAAAAGATTTTATAATATTTTATATTCATTACGACACGTTTTATTGAAATGAGAGATTGACGACAAGTCAACATTTCAAGTTGATTGTATGAGCCTTTTAAATATTAACACGAACATAACTTAGGGGTTAAGAAAATTAACACGAAACCTAACAAGTAAGAAAATGACTCGATTAAGATTCGACCTTGAAACTTACCAGGTTCCAATAATACCACGGTAACTCTCGCTACTAAACCTAAAAACTTAAACTAATTAATTAATTATATATATATATATATATATTTTTTTTTTCCAATATCAGGCAAGCATGAAATCTAACTCTAATTCGACCGACTCATAAAAATATTAGACTGTTGTTATAAAAATCACATATTTAAATCTTCATTTGACGGTCGAAAAAATATAAAATACAAATTTAAATGAGCCAAATTAAGAAATTGATAGCCCACAGAAAAAGAGGGTCACAAATCTCTATATTATTTATTCTTAGAGGTTAAGAAGAACCATTGAGGTTTGAAAGATGGAGAATTGGATGGGTCTACTTAGAATTCATGTGTGTAGAGGAATCAATCTTGCTATAAGAGATGTTTATAGCAGTGATCCTTATGTTATTTTGAAGATGGGCGATCTGGTCTTTTCTCCTTTCTTGATCTGTCTAGTTGTTCGGTTACATTTACAGTTTTGAGTATTTTTTGTTAAATTTGAATTTTCGTGCATACTTTTTTTTCGTGATACAGAAGTTGAAGACTCGAGTTGTGAAGCAAAATACTAACCCGCAGTGGAACGAAGATCTAACTCTATCAATCGAAGATCCAAATCTTCCGATCACCATGGCAAGAAATACATTGCCCAACTTTTTTTTTTTCACATGTACTCTATGAAATGATGGTTTGATAACATTGTTGTTTTGATTCATTTGTACAGTTTGTATACGATAAGGACCGGTTCTCACTAGATGATAAGATGGGCGATGCGGAAATCGATGCTCGTCCGTTCGTGGAAGTTGTTAAGATGAAACTAAATAACCTTCAGAGTGGAACCATCGTAAGAACGATTCAACCAAGCAAGAGCAATTGTTTGTCGGAAGAAAGTTACATCGTTTGGGAAAATGGAGAAATTACTCAAAAAATGTTTGTAAGGCTAAGAAATGTGGAGTGTGGGGAAGTTGAGCTGCAATTGAAATGGATTGGTATTCCTGGTTCTACACTGTTACAGACCTAAAATAAATAATAATAATATTAGGTTATATTTCTCTCGAATGTTTTGGGGTGAGAGTTTGAATGGCTGAAGTTACACATTTCAATCTTTGTTTGATGAGTGAATTCTTTAAAATATTTGTTTGATGAGTGAGACTCCTATATTGTTTAGGGAGGAGAATGAAATACTCTTTATAATGGTGTGGAAACCTTTCTTCAAGTAGACGTGTTTTAAAGCCTTGAGAGGAAGTCCGAAGGGAAAAGCCTAGAGAGGACAATTTTTTTTCTTCATCGTCTATCTTTCTAAACATGAAATACGAGTCTGCAACCTCAACCCCAATTTCTAAAATGGGGAAGAATGGGAACACGAGTCCGCAACCTTCGCACAGAGAGTTTGCCCCCGGGTACGTTTGCCATATATCAGGGTGGAAGATGGAATTGAGGCGGTTGGCTGCGGTGCCTAATGCAAACCTTCTCCACGCGGAATTCATATTTGAGTAGAACCCGAGAGAGATTCCAATTCACTGTCCCGGGGTGTTGGTAGTTGCCCATCTATCTCTCTTCCACCCTTTCCCCACACAATTTCGAAAGTGAAAGCGAATTTCTTGATTGTTTGTTAAAAAGAATGCAGAATTGTCAGCTAGCTCTTTCCCTTTCCCGACTCACTCATTATGCAAGCAAGCAGCGGTTCAACACTGCAGAATTGTCAGCTAGCTCTTTCCCTTTTCCGACTCACTCATTATGCAAGTAAGCAGCGGTTCAAGCTACATTGCTTTTGCATCAATTCCTTCTCTGCTGCGGGTCTCACTCCCACTTATTCCTACCATTGAAACCCCAATTTTCAAAGTAGTGAATAACTCCGAAAGAAGTCTCTTGCTTATTTTAACTCATTGTTCATATATATATATATATATATATATATATATTTTTTTTTTGACAACCTATAGAGTAATAGGATTCAAATAATAATTTTAATTATTGAAAACAAAGAAACATTAGTGACAACTAGAAAGGTGGGATTGGGCCTCGACAAAGAAGCAAGCACGCAAAGGGAGCTTAAAAGGCAAGGTACATGCCCTACACCCTATGCCTCACTCATGCTTTAACCTAACGACGAAGCAAAGTCCCTATCACCGCTCCCACAAACAGCCGATGTCCAAACAACCCTCCGTGTTCGCCTCCTAGCAACACCACCTCCACAATTACCTCTCAAGAACTTTGACCATACTTCCCCCGTGGTTCAACAGTACTCTTTTCTTTTCTTTATCTAATTTATAATCATTCAAGATCTGTGAGATTCAACTTTTTCATCATCAAAATTCTACGTGTTCGAGAAATTTAAAAGATTAAAAACAAAATTCAGAATAACTGAAACGATTCGGGAATAGAGGTATATACTTGCTTAGTCTATCACGCAAGGAATTTTCATCGCTAAATTTTGAGTTACATGCCAATTTGATGCAAATTTTGAAAATATTTCCAAATCATTGCCCGAAATCAATCAACCAGCACAAACAGCAGTCAGTTCTTCAATAGCTTCAACAAATTTCGGATTCTAAAAATTACTGCGAGAACTTTGAATTCATCCTTATCAGAAACAGAGCATCTCAATCAATCAGAGACAGATATTAACTGATAATTTTTTTTTTTTTTTTTTTTAAGAACTATAGGATCTCTGATTAAGATCTAGAATCGGATAATTTGTTTTTTGGTACCCTAATCGGTTACAGATGGCAAGAGGATGATCAAGATAAGCCAGATAGATATAGAATCACAAACTGTACACTAACAAGCGACTGAGAGTACCAGATTTTGTTTCAAAATTCTAAACTATTTTGATTTCATTCTGAAACTACCTCTACCGACGAAGACGACTATGAGCGAGTCATCATCTTCTTGAACTCCTCGAAATTTACATGGCCGTCACCGTCAACATCGACGGAACTGATCATCCGGCAACAATCTTTGAGGCTACATTTTTCACCGAGGCGCTTGAGAACAGAGTGCAACTCCTTGGCCGAGATTAGGCCGTTCTTATCGACATCGTACAGATCAAAAGCGTCTTGCAGATCTTTGCTACCTCCGCCAGTAGAAGAAGAGTTCTGATGAAACTCGGCGAACTCGTCTAGGTCGATGAATCCATTACCGTCCTTGTCAATCTCCGACATAATGCGGCGGATCTCATCGTCAGAGATCTTGCCGCCAAGTTCCCCAAGGGCGGCAGCGAGCTCCTTGATGGAAATCTTGCCATCGCCGTTCTTATCAAACTTCTTGAAGACCATGATAACCTCGTCCATGGAGCCCAAGGCTCCTCCAGGATTTGGGGAGCTTGGATTTGAAACCGACGTCTTCGCCATAGGCATAAAAGCTTCACGAAGGATCAAATAGATTAAATTTGAATTGAGAGAGAGAGAAAAACAAAATTCAAAACAAAAACACTTTCCCGATTTTCTTCCTTTCCGATTGAGAGATTTGCTACAGATATATATAGAGAGAGGGAGTCGAAACCTTCCACGCGGTTTCCTCGCGCTATTGCAGGCGGTGATCCGGTAAGTGACAGTGTACGAATGTTAAGAGTATTAACTACTATTTATTTCTTATTATTATTTTTCCAACCGTTATTAGTTATTTTAAAATTTTAGCGGAAAAAAACTTAATTTTTATCAACATATTTTTCGTTAAAATAAATAAAAATAATAAAATTGATAAAATAATATAACAACTTATTAAAATTAATTATGGGTCTATAGATACAATGTTCTCCGTAGCTCAATCACATGGAACATTGTCCCATTAATTGTGTTAGCTTCCACAAGAATCAAAGTATTTAGATTCTAATATATACGTGCATATAAGATTTATATTAATTGATATTGAATAATAATTCAATGTATTAACTAATACGTTCGAGAGATAAATAAATTTCAAATAACCGATAAAATTAAATCACGAATCAATCCAACCAAACCTAAGAATACGGGAGCCACAAAAATTAGGGCATTAATTTACCACTTATTATTATATATTTATTTGATAGGTTTATTATTATATTTTTTTTCTACAATGATTTAGACTCAATGTTGATCCACAACCATTAAAATTCTGCCACGTTGCATTGGAGAGTGAGATCGCAAGACATTGTTCACAAATTAAGTAAGTGGCAGGCCGGGCAGGTAATTGAGCTGCCCTTTTCAAAATCAAGTTTCCGTGGTCCTGAGTGCACCTGATTGTGACCTTTTTCCCGCGTGAATTAAATTAATGCTTTTTCCTAAAGTTTTTATTTTCTCCTTTTTCGAAAAAATTGCTTCAATAAATTTTAAAATTAATGCAGTATAGAAAATTTAATAAATTTATGCTAAATTATATAAACTACTTATAAATTATAAATTTGTATGATATTCACCGAATATTAAAAACTACTTATATGGTTAATTTTAAATTTAATTTTCAAAAATTCAAAGTCAAAGTCAAATAGTTATTAAACGAGACCATAATCATTAAAAACATGTTTTTGTTCTTAGACTTGAACTAAAAATTCAAATATTTATGGAACGTTAAATAGAGATACATAGAGATACATAGAGATGGGGAAGCAATCAACAATGGCTCCCTTTATTCATAGCACAGTGCCAATGGCCTTGTTGTTCATCAGTTAACAGCAAGGTAAGCATCAAGTCCAATTGAGATCTTAGAAACAAATTCCAGGTAAGCTTCAGGGGACGGGATGTTCTCGTTGGCTTTCTCGAACTCGAACGACCAATTCACGATGGCGCCTCCGTTTTCTACGTCGTCGTAGGCTCGGAACTTCGACCTAAATAAGGTGTATTGGCTCAATATGTCTCCTTCAACAACTTCGTACGTGATCGACTTGTTTTCTTCATCGACATCTGCCACTTTTGCCTTCATTTTAGCCGGCCCAACTAACCGAACAAAGAAACAAACGAGTATTAAGCTTAATTTTCAAAAACAAAAACACAAAACCGAACGGAGTCGTACCAATGTCGTAAGACCAGTGCATGAGGGAGCCAGGAGAGATGTCATTTCCTTCGAGGAATTCAAAGCTGTGGATGTTAGAGGAACACGACTCTCCACAATGGTATGATATTGTCCACTTTGAGCATAAGCTCTCATGGCTTTGCTTTGGGCTTCCCCAAAAGGCCTCATGCCAATGGAGTTAGTATTCCTCACTTATAAACCCATGATCACACCCTAAATTAGTCGATGTGGGACTTCCATCATCCAACACCTCCCCTCGAACAAAGTGCGCCTCCCCTTAATCGAGGCTCGACTCCTTTGGAGTCTTAGTCATTTTTGACGGCCTTCGAGGAGGGGCTTAGCTCCTTTTCTTTAAGAGTTCTTTGTTTGATATTTGAGGATTTACCAATCTATTGGCATGACTAAGTTTAGGGCATGGCTCTGATACCATGTTAGAGGAACACGACTCTCCACAATGGTATGATATTGTCCACTTTGAGCATAAGCTCTCATGGCTTTGCTTTGGGCTTCCCCAAAAGGCCTCATGCCAATGGAGTTAGTATTCCTCACTTATAAACCCATGATCACACCCTAAATTAGTCGATGTGGGACTTCCATCATCCAACAGTGGAGATTCTTAGAGAATATTCGAGGCAAATGGTGCATTTTGTGCCTAAAGAAAGCATAGAATTTGTCAGCTGAAGACTGTATTTTAACATCAGCAGAGACTTGGGAAATTTGAGCCATTTTGTAATGAAAATATGCATTTTGGAGAAGCCAAATTGGAGAGCTTATATGGAAGCTCTTAGAATCTCGCAACTTGTTTATGTGACCACTTCAAATTCTTCATCTTTAGTTTCTATGGTTCTTATAATCTTTTGTAGCATAAAAAAAGTTGGGCATCTTTCCATTTTTGTAAACGAAAGCTATTAAGAGGATAGAAGAGAATCTCGGTTCTCGGGTTCGTAGAACCCGGGAGAGATTTAACTATTCCAAATTCACTATTTTAGAGTATTGGTCGAGATAATTTAGTGAAAAATCACGAGTTAATTAATAAGGAATACTATCTTTATTGATATGAAGTCTTCTGGAAGAGCCCAAAACAAAGTCATGAGAGCTTATGTTCTTCAAAGTGAACAATATCATACTATTGTGGAGAGTCGTGATTCCTAACAGTAGGGCCCCAACGGTAGATATAAAGTCAGCTAGCTCTTCCCCTTTCCCAGCTCACTCATTATGCAAGCAAGTAACGGTTCACTTCACGCATGTTCCAAATTGTGGCTACAACTTTCTCGCGAATGAAAGCCTTCATCTAGTTTTATTTTCTATACCCTGTCCTCCCCTTCGTATCTATTCATCGCTATCCATTTTACTCGGATATTTATTAACTTTGGAAATTTGTTTGATTCTACAAGTTGAAGAATACCGTGTTGTTGTCTTGCTTTTCTTTTTTATTGTACGAAGATTAACCCTCGTATTTGAATTCTGTGTGGCTATGCTTTAAACTTTAATATTTCATTTTGCAATTATTAATGTAGAATTAAACTTGAAAACTTTGCTCGGGAAAATTTTTCACAAATTTATAAGTAATACTTCGTTTCCCTCTCCAATGAAGGCAGAAGTTTTCACACTCTCTAATGTGGGATCTCTCAATCCACCCTCTAAAATGAATTATGGGTCAATTTTATTTATTTATAGGTACAACGTTCTAGTAGCTGAACTACTGGGAACATTGTCTCATTAACTGCGTTAACTTCTACGGAAATGCTTCTACATAACAGATCGAGTATTTAGATCTTAAAAAATGCATGCATAAAGGATTTATATCAATTAATATCGAATAATAATTCAACTTATTATCTAATATGTTCGAGAGATAAATAAAATTCAAATAACCGATAAAATCAAATCACGAACCAATCCAAGAAACCACGTAATAAGAGTCACAAAAATTAGGGCATTAAACTTACCACTTATTATTATATATTTATTTGATAGGTTTTTTTTTAAAAAAAAAAATTTAAATGATTTAGACTCAAAGTTGATCCACAACCATTAAAATGCTGCCACGTCGCATTGGAGGGTGAGATCCACAAGACGTTGTTCACAAATTAAGTGGCAGGCCGGGCAGGTCATTGGCTGCCCTTTTCAAAATCAAGTTTCCGTGGTCCTGAGCGCACCTGATTGTGACTTTTTTCCCGCGTGAATTAAATTAATGCTGTTTCCGAAAGTTTTTATTTTCTCCTTTTTCGAAAAAATTGCTTCAATAAATTTTAAAATTAAAGCAGTATAGAAAATTTAATAAATTTATACTAAATTATAAAAAATACGTATAAATTATAAAATTTTAAAAAATACCTCGCAAAAAAAAAAAAAAAAAATTAAAAAGTTTAAAAAATATATAACTTTTTTAAAATATTAAAAACTACCGTTAACTTTGGAGTATTTTTGAAATAATAATTTTTTTATGAAATTGAAGTTTCACCAAAAAAAAAAAAAAATTATTATTATTAAATGTGGTCGAGCGTATTCGTGGAAAAGCGCGTTTATTTTATTTTTTAATTAATTAGTTAAGTATATTTTTAATTAATTATCTACCGGTACGGACGTGAGATCTCACCATCTACCTTCCAGTGGCGGAGATTTTCACACCCTTAAAAGAATGTTTCGTTTCACTCTTCAATTGACGTGGGACCTCACAGTTCACCTCGTTTGGGATCCAGTGTCCTCGCTACCACTTGTTCCCCTCTCAAATCGATGTGAGATCTGGAACGAGGCTATAATTAATAAAACTTATTTTTATTCTTGGAATTGAACTAAAAACTTCAAACATTTGTGGAAGGTGAAAGGAAACATGCATAACAATACATGGATATAAGCATAACAATACATAGATATGCATAGACATGGGGAAGAGCAATGAGTGTGACCAACAATTGCTCCCTTTATTCAACATAGCACACACCAAAGGCCTGGTTTATCAGTGGACACCAAGGTAAGCATCAACTCCAGTTGAGATCTTAGAAGCATCAAATCCAGGTAAGTTTTTGGGTGGCGCCTCCGTTTTCTCCGTTGTTGATGGCTCCAAACTTCGACCTGAATAACTTATATTGGTTCAGTATGTCTCCTTCAACAGCTTCGTACGTGATCGAATTGTTTTATAGTGAACTTGGGTGACCATTTTAGGAATGATTTGAACTGCCACTCAATAATTTGGCCAACTTTTTTAACATTTTTTAACACTGTTGTGGCAGGTCACAACGAACACTTTTTATTCCCACTGACTGTATTTTAAATCAAGTTTATAGTGTTCTGATCTGTTGTAGATCTGGAAGTTGTGTAACATAACCTAATTTGTTTGTTGATCCACGCTCAATCCACCCAACAATGTCTCGATTTCCACACGCTCATAAGTAATGTGGCATGTTTCGTCCCCTCTTCAAGTAAGGGAGAGGTTTCTACGCCCTATACGGAATGTTTCGTTCCCCTCTCCTAACACGGGAGAAGTTTCCACATCAAGAATGCTTCGTTTCTCTCTCTAACCTAGGGAGAGGTTTCCACACTCTCCAATGTGGTGATTGAGCCTTCTTGAGGACCTAGCATCCTCGTTGGCACATCGCCAATGATTGATTGTGATACCATTTGTAACCTTCCAAGTCCACCGCTAACTGAGAGAGGTTTCCACACTCTCCAATGTGGGGATAGAGCCCCCTTGAGGATCTAACGTTCTCCCGGGTACACCACCTGATGACAGGTTCTGATACCATTTGTAACCATCTAAGTCCACCGCTAACAGAGAGAGGTTTCCACACTCTTCAAATATGGGAATTGAGCCCCTTGTGGACCAAACGTTCTCACGGGCACACCGCCCGATGACAGGTTGTGATACCGTTTGTAACAGTTCAAGTCCACTACTAACAGAGAGAGGTTCCCACACTCTCCAATGTAGGGATTGAGTCTCCTTGGGACCCAGCATCCTAGCTAGCACACAGCTCGATGACTAGTTGTGATACCATTTGTAACCGTCTAAGTCTACCACCAACAAAGAGAGGTTTCCACATTCTCCAATGTGGGGATTCAGCCCTCTTGGAGACCCAACGTTCTCGCGGGCACACCAACCAATGACAAGTTCTTATACCATTTGTAACAACCCAAGTTCACCACTAACAGATATGGTATGTTTGAGCTTGTTACATATAGTCATCAGCTTCACGGTTTTAAAATAAGTTGCTAAAGAGAGGTTTCCACGTCTTTGTGAGGGCTATGCTTCATCCCCTCTCCAATCAAAGTGGGAGCTCTAAAATACGAGAAACACGAGGGTATTTTTTAAATGTTTTAAAAAAGTCGAGACTATTTCTTATATTATTAAAATTTGTAAGTGAGATAGAATGTGTTTGAAATAGAATATGAAATCACTTTTGTTTTTGTTGTTGGTTTGTTATGGGCACTGTTGAGTAATGGAGTTCGCACTCTTAAAAGATGATTATTTGCTTACAATATTTCCCATTGTGTGGCATGAGTGTGCGTGGAGTTGTATTAAAATGTTAAACCTTTGTCCGGTTTTTCGAGGAGAACAAAACATTTTTTATAAAAATGTGAAAACTTCTCTCTAGTAGGTGCATTTTAAAATTTTGAGGGGTTATGGCGATACATAACGAGCCAAAACGGACAATATCTACCAGTGGTGGACTTGGGCTGTTACAAATGGTATCAAAGCAAGACACCGAACGTTGTGCCAGCGAGGATGTTGGCCCCTAAAGGGGCTGGATTGTGAGATCCCACTGGTTGGAGAGGGGAACGAAGCATTCCCTATAAGGGTGTGGAAACCTCTCCCTAGTAGACGCGTTTTAAAATCGTGAGGCAGACAACGAAACGTAACGAGCCAAAGCGGACAATATCTACTAGCGGTAGACTTGGGCTGTTACAGATGGTATCAGAGCCAGACATCAGGCGTTGTGTCAGCAAGGACGTTGGCCCCGAAGAGGGAGGATTGTGAGATCCCACATTGGTTGGAGAGGAGAACAAAGCATTTCTTACAAGGGTGTGGAAATCTCTCCCTAGTAGACGCGTTTTAAAACCATGAGGCTGACGGTGATACGTAACGAGCAAAAATGGACAATATCTACCCGCAGTAGACTTGGGCTGTTACAAATGGTATCAAAACAAGACATCAGGCGTGTGCTAGCTAGGATGCTGTCCTCTAAATGGGGTGGATTGTGAGATTCCACTGGTTGGAGAGGGGAACGAAGTATTCCCTATAACGGTGTGGAAACCTCTCTCTAGTAGACGCGTTTTAAAACCGTGAGGCTAATGACGATACGTAACGAGCCAAAACGGACAATATCTACTAGCGGTGGACTTGAGCTGTTACAGATGGTATCAGAGTCAGACATCAGGCGTTGTGTCAACAAGGACGCTGGTCCCCTAAGGGGGAGGATTATGAAATCCCACATTGGTTAGAGAGGGGAACAAAACATTCCTTATAAGGGTGTGGAAACCTTTGTTTAGTATACGCATTTTAAAATCGTGAGGCTAACGACGAGATGTAACAGGCCAAAATGAACAATATCTACTAGCATTGAGCTTGGGCTGTTATAGCACCTTTGTTAGCTATCGTAAGTATGCCCACAACCTACGAACAACATGCCTTTATACATGTCGTTGCAACCATACGAATTTAGTTTTGGATCGAGTCACTATTTGTACGTCTCTGTTTACATATCAAGATGGGATATGTGGTACAATATTGTGATATTCTTTGAAGTTTATCTCGAT